ACAAACACATGTAGGAGAAATGATAAATGATGTAGTGAGTGTGGTGTTCAATCCTTTTTAAAAAGATAGTTCCTACTCACACTTTGGCAATTCATGTCGAGAGACGTGGTTGTAGAAGTCCTTCAACCTGATGATGAGCTAAAAGGCTCGAAATCCGGATCGTTGCAAAACAACTTACTGTGAGGAGGAACTATCTTTTTAAAAAGGATTAATACACGTAGGATGTGGAAAAAAGTGAATTTATACAATGTAAAATATATTTTTTATATTCAATCAAAGTAATTCTACTCACTCAAAATGTTTGTTTTCTGTGTAATTGTGCCATTCTTGCGTGTCGTGTTGAGAGTGCCAGTGAGATATCAAAAATGTCTTTTCTATACCGACTTCCTTCCCCCACCCCTTAAAAATCCAACGTATATAAACATAAAACAGCAAAATCTCACTGGCACTCTCAACACGACAGGCAAGAATGGCACAATTACACAGAAGACAAACATTCTGAGTGAGTAGAAATACTTTAATTTGATATAAAAAATATATTTTGCATTGTATAAATTCACTTTTCCACATCCTAAATGTATTTGTTAATTGTAAACAATGTTTGTAAATCTCAGGCCCTGAAGATGATCTCAATAAAGATCGAAACGTTGACACGATAAAGCAAATAAGAAAGGACAAATAAACAATTAAATTAATTAACAAATGAATTAACAATTAAATATAACAAAAAGGTAATAAAACAATTGGGAATAAATACTGTTAAACGTAAAGTATGTTATAAATTACAAATAAGAAGGTCATAAAAGTTAAAAATTAATTTCCTCTGGCATCGTATTTCAAAGTTACATAATTCTGGTGTAGCGTTACTACGTGTGGTATAGGAGGAACATTAAATATACGTTTTTCATTTATTTATTTTACAAGTGCTTACAAAATGTAACAAGAAAAAATTATTTTAATTACAATTATATGTATTAACACATGCACATACATGATATTGTAATTACATGTCTGGCGTGATTGATTTGAACGGCCTCCTTCCAATGAAATTGGCTTTAATTGGCCATTATGGCGTGAAGTCAACAGTAGTTAGAGGAGTTGCCGAAGTTACCAAATCAGATGGTCCACGAGGCCATCTGCGCTTCAGACTTCTATGAGGGTTGGAAGGAAAGCTTGAACTGGACAGGTTGCAAATCAGTCAAAATTACTTAAATGTTAAAACTTGTTCACGGTAAATATGACTGGATTAATTTTGTACGCGTAGCCGGCTCCCTCAAAACATCCTTTTATAAACTAATTATCCCCCCATCACCCTCTCATCCAATCTACTGGCCACCTTACCCGAGTAAATGTCCCGACCTGCTTGATTCCTTCATCTGTTCCAACATATCCTCATTAAACACGGACTGTTTCACCCTAAATGATTTATCCTCCGCTCATAACACGGTTATCTTAATCCTTAACATCCGTCCAAAACAAGTGTCCCCCCTCGACCGACGCTATAAATGGACTGGAACTTATTTAGAGAAATATTTGAACAGCGACTGAACTTGAATGTACAGAACAACTTGACGATGATGTGCATTATTTAAATGACTCTATGCAACAGAACAAATGGCAAGCCACAAAATATACTACAACTAACAGACCACTGTCAATGACGTACAACTTGCCTCTAGAGATCCGACAATTAATCACTCGTAAACGTCGTGCTAGATGCCTTTGGCAGCGCACCAGATACCCCTCCCGCAAGACAATATTCAACCAACTAACGAGACGACTCACGTACGTACTAAACAGTATGACAATTTCACTTATACCCAAACACCACAAAGGACAACTCTCTCTGGACAGCAACTAAAATAATATTAAATTACAAATACACTTCCCGTCCAATTCAACGTGTGTAGGCACATGGACAAAAACCAGCAGGAAAACGCTCCATTCCTGGCACCATAACTCTCCGAAGTATTCACCCAACATGAACATCCAATATCAACACTATATTGATAAAATTAATGAAGAATTAAATATTTCCCTTCCACTCTAACCTCCTCCTGAACCTTTTACTCCAAAAGAAGTCAGTTAGGTCATAATAACCATCCTAAAAATAAAAATCCTAGTTACGATCTCGTAAACTGTAATTCTCTTAATCAACTTCCCCCCAAAAAAGCAGTAATATTTATTACAACCCTCTACGATGCCATCCTTAGAACCACCTTTGGAAGTTCTCCGTACGTAGGATGACGGATCTAAAACTCTTTTGAAGATGTCCATCCTGATTTTGTAGAACTCCATAATACGATGATAGGGAGGAAATAAATTGTCTTTTTAACAATCTGCTTATTGTGGAAAAGTCCAATTTATTTCCTACCCATCATCTTACACCTAAACCTAAAAAGTCTACTCATCTTGGCTCCTCATATTGTCCTATCAACCATCTCCCTATCCTCGGCAAAATACTTGAACAGATTCTTCTTCGCCTACAATCTTCGAACCCTTAAATTTATCCTCAATCATTAATGACGATTACGCGGACCACTCGTCTATTTACCAAGCCCACCGCTTTGTCGACACCATCGCCACTTCCCTCGAGCTTAAACAATACTGCCCTGGTTTTTTCCCTTGACATATCCCAGGCCTTTGACCGGATATGGCACGAGAGCTTGTTGCGGAAGCTAAAGAGCATCCTTCCATTTACATACTATTTGCATTATCCTCAAATCCTTCCTAACAAAACCTCTGCCTTTTTATTTTCCTTTTCCCAATTTACCGGCGTGCCCCAGCAAGCACACTTGCTCCCTTACTTTACTCCTTCATTACGGCTGATCTCCCATTGCATTCCAACACCTTAACATTCACGTACGCCGTTGACACGGTAACTCTCTCCGCAAACATCGATCCTTTTACTTCTATCCGCAACCGCAAAGCCCATTTTCATATACTTGCTCCCTGGCTTTGACAGTAGAATCGAGGTAAACAATCAAAATTTTAAATTTACAGTTTTCATTCTTAATCGTAAAACTCTCTCTCTCTCTCTCCTGTCTATTTACACATCACCCAAACTCCTCCAGCGAATAGTACACGATATTTTAAACTTTACATAGACAAAAGTTGTGGATTCACACGACCAAAACGAATTTACTGTGTATCTTAGGTATAAAATATTCAAGAGACTACTTGACAAAAGATCTAAACTCACATTAGTTATGCTGGCACAAGGTCAGCATGAGTTCACCGACTCGCAGACCAAAACCCATCATCAACTCTGAAATTACTTGACGAAAAAACTATTATACATTACTATGATCATCCCAATTTGGAACAACGGCGTTCCAATCTAAACAAAATCTTCGCGCAATAGCTGATGCTGCTCCATTCTACGTCACCACTATGGTCTCAACCTACTCACGACCCAAACCTGGCCCACTCCCACTACAATAAATTTCGCTCCAAACTATCCTTTCAAGGCAACCCATTAATTCGCAAACTGTCCAGCTCAGCCCTTCCTTCCAACCCTCATAGAAGGCTGAAGCGCTTAGTGACCACCTGATTGTATAACTTAGGAAACTCTAGCCGCATCCGCTTGATCAATCATCAGTTCAAGTTCATATCAATCACGCCACGCACGTAAATGTGAATAAAATATTGTGTATGTGCATGTGTATATGTATATCAATGTAAATAACATTATTTTTGCTTGTTGCATTTTGTAACAAGTTGTTTTGTACACTTGTAAAATAAATAAAACTAAACGAAAACAATATGTCGAAAAGCTTACGCCTATATGACATAGAAGTTAAATTGAGTAGTACCAGACGGTATGTATAGTTGATTTAGTGAGAGAGAGAGAGAGAGAGAGAGAGAGAGAGAGAGAGTGAGCAAGAGAGAGGTGTTGGTATTTCTATTAATAAAACTATTATTACTGATTTTTCTTAATGACAGCAATATGAGTTACAAATGCCATTGACTCCCTGAGGAAGGGTACCATCAATTTTGCACATAAAACTGAAATTTCTATTGCTCTGAAATAACGCATTACATTGCTTTTTCAATGTTCAATTTAAGAGAATTTTCATTGCACGATGTTAATAATGTTTAACTGTACCAATTGTGACCATCAAAATCTTCAACTATTCTAAACGCCAAAAGCTGATATTATATCTTTAATATACAAACACAAAGAAGATATCCGACAGAAGATCTCTGTGGCACTCCTGAGGTAGGCTCAAAATAATAATGAAGCTGAATTTAATTTAACATATTGTTGCTTATTAATTACAAAGCTTGTGAGCCAATTAAGAAGGAACCGTGAAAGCTAAGGCAAGACAGCTTATTGGCCAATCTAGGGATATTTACACTATAGAACACCTTTGATATATCAATATAAACCACATTTGAATGCTTCTAATATATAATTTTTGTAAAATAAATCAAGTAGTTGTGGTAGATTTGCCTTTTACTAAGCCATGTTGTTCAGGGATTAGAAAGTTACAACACATTGGAGCCAGAATATCATAAACTAATTTATCAAAAACTTGCGTACGATTGAAAACTTTTTCCATATAACAGGAAATATACCTTAATTTAATGTGGGTTTGGATTTATATAGGCTCAAATTCACTCAAATGTACATACAAACACACATGTGCAGAGTTGAGCCTATTACTTCTCGCAGTTCACGTCAATTCCAGCTTTTGTAATTTACAGTAAATTACGGGCAGGCCTCGAGAATCACCCAACTCGGGTGTTGGCAATTCGGAGTCAGAACTCGACCTTATCCATCCTACTACCGAGGTTGACCTCCAGGGCCTATCAACAGCTAGGTCCAGCTTCCAACTCAGTTCCTAGATTCAAATCAATTATTATATCATTTGAAATAATGAGGAAAAAAAACGATTATTAAATTAATCTGGACATGTTTTTAATACCTATAAAGGAGAAGTGTATTTATTTTTGTTAGCAACCTGACAAGTTGTAAAATTGGCGAAATTTTTCAGGTTGAGGAATGCCGGGCCGTAGGGGGCTCCTTGCTCCGCAGAACACTTTCCTTGACACAATAGCGACAAGATTCGACGGAACTCGTAAGTACCACAATAAAATCGTTTATACCATCGTGTAAATTTTTAAAAGATAATCTTCTAAGCCAATGGAGATATTGTTTACTTTATATTATTATGGTTCTTACAGTTCAAAAGGCAGAAGATTAATACTAAATGAATTCCGAATATTTTACTACTTACCCTGTCCTGCTTTTATCACATATCAGTTTATATTATAATAAATGACAGCCATATAAAAACTATTTTTTTATGAATTATTTCTTCCAAGTTTAATTGCCTTAATACGATGGAAAACTACTTAGAAAGAAAATTGGCAAAAATCTTCGTTCGATATTTTAAGAGAGGTAACCACACATTTTTAATATTTTCGTATCGGGTTTGATTTTCTAATTACAATTGTTTGTTTTCAATTTACCTAATTATAATTTTTGTTACAGCTACTTAATGCCGATGTCAAAAAAACAAAAAACAGAAAAATTTTACATTCGACTCGGGAGGGTACATTTTATAACATACCAGTATAAGTACCAAACTAGTAAACTAGTATGTTAAATATAGGGGGAAAAATTCAAGATTTTGCGTTTATATCTCGCTTATATTTAGCCACAAAAATATAATACTGCTAACAAATAGCACCTTTTGCATGTGTACGAGTGAATGAGGGAGAGAAAGGGAGAGAGACAGACAGAGAGAGACAGACGGAGAGAGACAGAGAAATAGTGAAGAGTGTGAGAAAAGGTTTAATCTTAGGCTCACGAAAGGAAAAGTAATCACTGGAAAAGAAAGTTCAAGCCTGCAAAGTCCAAACACGTCAACATTACTCTCCAGTAGACGTGCCCATGAATATCTTTACCTATACGGCGATATTATTCTTCACTCAGACAAAATTATCTTTCAAAACTCATGTCATGGCCTACATTTGTTCAATTAAATTGTAAATTCGTAAAATTTATTTATTTAAAAAAAAAGAGTTAAACATTTATGTTAACCTAAAACTTCTTTTTTTAATAATATTCTATATGTTATCGTAGAATATGGTTGCTTCATAACTAACGATTAAACCTTAGACGTCTAAATATAAGGAACTGGGTGGCCAATGGTAGCTTCTTCTTTCTTTCCAACTAACCCCATATTGTAAATAAAACATATATGCATTTTTTAAATTGCAAATTTAATTAAGTTGTGTAAATTACACAAGAAAAATCTACATGAGAATAATCTATCGCTCGGAATTTAATCTAGATATGTAGATGAAAGGGACACATGTATTTGGGCTACTTTGGAAAGAGGCATGCCGGCACTTCGGGTCAAAAGGCCCACCGGGAAGGATATGAGAATGTATTTCCGCCTCACGCACCGTGTTTTATGTTTATGTACGTTACAAAATTTAACGAGAGAAGTAAACCGGCAAATAGAAAGGAAAAAGATAAAAAGAAATAAAATATGTGAAGACCAGAGCTGACCTGGGCTTTTGCCAGCGTTAATCTTCTTTACAAAATCGATCCTCGCCTCTGCTAACCTGAGGATCTTAATTAAACATCATTAGCCTGCAGAAGCAAACCGGGAATCTAAAATTTTATGCAATGTAAATAATTTTTGTCATCATTCGATTAAGCGAGAATCTGGTGCGAAGCCTTGATTTCGAACGGTCTATTTAAAGAGTTATTCGAAATTTAGAGGGAGAAAGGCCTTATAAGCTGAATGGTTTGCTAATACACTTAAATCTTGTAGTTTGATGGTGTGCGCCAAGATCCGGGAGGACAGAATGATCAATAAACAGCTTATCCCTTTTCAAGTGTTGATTGAATAGGAAATGATATCCCCTAAATCACTCTTTAAAGCTCTCTTCCTATTTTCTTTTACACCTTTTGGATATTTTTAAAAAATACAACTGTTCGATATTATATCGCCTTAAATCGCCTGATAAAATAGAATTTTACACCAAACAAATAATTTTAAAACAAACAAAATTATTGTTGATTTATACAAATTTTAGAAAAAATGTACTGATGGGGAGGCGGAGAAAGTCTCGAAATCATCTACCTAAAAATAAAACGTTGGAAAAGTTTAAGAAGTTTTTATAATTCATGAGAAATGACAAACAAAAAGAGAGGCAAAAAATTGTTTAATAATTATTTTAAACTAACTCTAAACAAATATGTATTCATGGTTCTCAGCATATATTAATCTTTTTAATTAGTAAACATAATTATTCCTGGATTTATTTCTCCCTTTACTTTTTCTTTCTTGCGCTTTCTCGTCTGGTATTTAACTTGTAATTATTAATTTTGTAACCAACATAAAGTCAATTCTGTGCGCATACATACAAAACATAACTTCAATACTGTCAGAGTAATTTGAAAAGAATGAGAACCTGAAAACCTCAATGTCGACCTCATGAGGTTCGAATTCCTCGGAGAGATGGATAAGCAAATGTTTTGGTTTTTCTTTATCCAAATTTCACATATGAAATGTAGATGGAACTTGGATAAATAAGACTAAAACATGCGTATCCATCTTTCCGAGGAATTCGAACCTCATGGACTCGGTCAATATTGAACACGATAAATTTAAATCCCATTCACTTATGACACCTGTACCTATATAGATCTGCCATCTAAATCAATAACTCCAAAACAAGAAATACGACATCACCTGGTCATGATTTGATAACAGCTGATCCGCCAATAACTTCCCAAAAAAAATTGTCGCCTTTTTGAATCCTTTATTTAATGCATTATTGAGAACTGCGGCCTTTTCTATATAATGGAAACTTTCTTACATTAAATTGTTTAATGTAGGAAAATTTCTTATACTAAATGATCCCAAAGCTTCATAAAAATTTGAGCTCCCCATCGACAGAGTAGTTTGTTCCTTCTAAATTATTCGAACAATGAATTCACAACAGATTTATCGGTACTTCGAACAACAACTTACCAGACCATCGATTTGGGTTTCGAACCCATCATTGCACTACACAACTTCGCAGTTACAGATTATATTACTTCATGTCTCGAACAGAAAAACGAACGCGACGGAATGTTTTTAGATGTTTCTCAGGCTTTCGACAAACTATGGCATGAGGGACTATTATTATACGAATTAAGATTATTTTTACCCCAGGCCTATTATCTGATTGTACAATCATACCTCAAGAAGAGATTTTTCGCGGATTTCGAGTAAATCAGAAATCAGACACTTTTGAGATGAAAGATTAAATGAAGTGCTTAGTATGCTCACAAACGACTTTCAATATTACGTACAAGGAAATAATCGGACAATCGCAAGCATATTTCCATACAGAAATTTCACTAACTCTAAACAATTTTCACCACAAAAACCACATATCCTCGTTATAATCGAGGAAACAATTACAAACCAGGAAAATCTTACACACATCCCATACAGCCAAATTTTAACCAAAATTATCGCCCAAAAGGATACAAACCAACACCAATGAGCACATTGACTCGTAATAATAGCGCTACAAATTACGGACATTTCCCAAAAACAAATCCAAGAAATACAAATCACTGTTTATTGATCATTCTGTCCTCCTGGATCTTGGCGCACACCATCAAACTACAAGATTTAAGTGTATTAGCAAACCATTCAGCTTATAAGGCCTTTCTCTCTCTAAATTTCGAATAACTCTTTAAATAGACCGTTCGAAATCAAGGCTTCGCACCAGATTCTCGCTTAATCGAATGATGACAAAAATTATTTACATTGCATAAAATTTTAGATTCCCGGTTTGCTTCTGCAGGCTAATGATGTTTAATTAAGATCCTCAGGTTAGCAGAGGCGAGGATCGATTTTGTAAAGAAGATTAACGCTGGCAAATGCCCAGGTCATCTCTGGTCTTCACATATTTTATTTCTTTTTATCTTTTTCCTTTCTATTTGCCGGTTTACTTCTCTCGTTAAATTTTGTAACGTACATAAACATAAAACACGGTGCGTGAGGCGGAAATACATTCTCATATCCTTCCCGGTGGGCCTTTTGACCCGAAGTGCCGGCATGCCTCTTTCCAAAGTAGTCCAAATACATGTGTCCCTTTCATCTACATATCTAGATTAAATTCCCAGCGATAGATTATTCTCATGTAGATTTTTCTTGTGTAATTTACACAACTTAATTAAATTTGCAATTTAAAAAAATGCATATATGCTTTATTTACAATATGGGGTTAGTTGGAAAGAAAGAAGAAGCTACCATTGGCCACCCAGTTCCTTATATTTAGACGTTAGACGTCTTTAATCGTTAGTTATGAAGCAACCATATTCTACGATAACATATAGAATATTATTAAAAAAAGAAGTTTTAGGTTAACATAAATGTTTAACTCCTTTTTTTTTAAATAAATAAATTTTACGAATTTACAATTAATTGAACAATTAAATGTAGGCCATGAGGTGAGTTTTGAAAGATAATTTTGTCTGAGTGAAGAATAATATCGCCGTATAGGTAAAGATATTCATGGGCACGTCTGCTGGAGAGTAATGTTGACGTGTTTGGACTTTGCAGGCTTGAACTTTCTTTTCCAGTGATTACTCTTCCTTTCGTGAGCCTAAGATTAAAAATCCTGTAAGGAACATTAAACAAGGTGGACGCTGAGCTACCAAATTTACGATTGGATGAGGTCGAAATACCGGAAGCTCTAGTTAGGGTACATGACCATGAAGCTTTATGCCCAATAATAAATACAATAAAGAGTCACAACAAGTAAAAATAAAAAACCCATATCACTAACAGAAATATCAGTAAACTAAAATCACCACAATAGGAATGTTATAAGCAAAAAAGACCAACAGCCATTTCTATCATCATTTGCGTTCGGATCATATGAACGACGAAGAAAAAATTATTGTAATAAATCTAGTTAGCCAATATTTACATATATTTCATCTGGACGATAAGCCATTACAAACATCTACAAGCCAAATTAGAACAAAAGATGAACTACCAATTTACGCAAAAACTTATAGATACCCAGAACTAAACAAAGAAGAAATACAAAATCAAATTAAAAAGAACACTATTTATTACACGACAATACAAAATTGGAGTAACCATTTCCAATTAGGGAATCTTCGGTCTTAACTCGATGAAAATTCAGAATGGATTCTCATAAAAATATAAGCATCCATTAGCATCAGTAGCATCCAAACACAAAATATTTATATTAGTATTTTCTTTTATTATAACCCGTTTTTCATAATCATATTTATCATATCTGTGATAGGTATTGATGTTATATCTAAACTTATCAGCAATAATGAACCCAATATCTTGTTTCTTTTAAGAAGTTACGTCTTTTAAGTTCTGTTGAATTTTTTATGTCGTAATTGTACAAATTTTCTATGCTGTTTAATGGCTTTATTAACACCTTTAATGTGTAACACAATGGAGAGTTACAGGTCAATTTTTTTTCTTTGATTTTGTATGTTTCATTTTTGTTTTATTTATTACGTATGAGTACTCACAATTATCTCTCTTACATGTATTTTTTCTTTTTTATGTTTCTTAATTTTTACTGTTTTTAAAATTTATATGTTATAAATTGTACGTAATATGTACATAGTAATTTTATAGATATATAAAAATCAAAAAGTAGTAAGGTCATCATTGACAAGATAAATGGAGAAAAGTGTATATTGTTGGGAAATCCACTGGTATGTACATGTAATTTACTAATACAATATATTTTAATATAAAAAACCAATGCAAACAAAAAGGATTTTATAGAATAGACAATTGAAAATTAATACTGAAGAGGAGTCATGTCATTAGGTAGAAAACGTTTCGGTAAAAAATAAAATTACTGCAATATATGTTCAATATCCTAAAATTAATCCTAATTCACAAGTTACACGGTAAGAGATATAATTTGTTGGATACCATTTTCAGAGCTTGAACTACAATGTTGACATCTTGTGTTTAAATAAGTCAAAATTCAGTGTAAATGTCACGACACCCTCAACTTATGCCGTTGCGTCAAACCGCACTGAAATTATTAATAGCGTTAGGACTTCAGTGAGACTTCAACTTGTTCAACTCTCATTGGAGAGTTTCTAAATTGGAAACAAAAGTATGGAAAATGTTAAAAATATAACGAAAATAAATTGTGAGGGTTGAGAGAGAGGAAATAAAGTTATAGGTAGTCTGTGGACAAACCATTTCCTCGCAGTTAAAATACAATTACATTAATTGGTACTTATAAATACATTAATTAATGAGACTTAGAGTTTGGCGAAAAATGTTGAACCATTATATTTAAAAACATACGCCCTTTGTTTGATGTTACAAATCACTCGATTTAGTTTTTTTAATTAGGCAAAGAGTTCAGATTTACACTGCCAAGGGCTGAAACACTATTGAGTGTATTGTCAGTTTGGACTGAGTCTAGGTTTTAAAGAAATTGAAATAATTTATTAAAAACTTAATTTTTTTTGTCAATATGTCAACAACTTTAAGAATGTTTTGCCATGATGATGGTTTTAAAATATGTCGAAAGCTCGGAAGATAACTAAATTTGTGTTTTTTCATACACTTGACTGTACCAAGATCCAGATTATTCGTGAGTAAATCATTTGTCCAGTTAAATTGTATTTAATCACTTTATTGATTAAATTAATTTACACCAATTAAATTAGTTTCATACAGAAATAAAAAAAAACATCTAGATTTTACCAGAATGTTTTAAAATAAAGTGGTTTTTTTTTTTTAAGTGAAATCGTGGTGTAAATGAAAGGTGAAAAGTGGGGAATGATGATATTACCTGGATTCGATTCTAATCCGCTTACTCATCCAGTATTTTTAATCCCCTGAACTCTTCTTCTCCGGCCCATTCTTTGACGAACAAAATGTTTTCAAAGTACATTAATATGTACATCATTGGTATTTATTGCTACAATCGATATACATTAAGTGAAATTATAATAAATTAACGAGAGGAGCGTATAAAAATAAATAAATGCTTAAAGAACAATTGTCGAGAATTGGTTATAATTCTGATATCGTGCGTAAATGATTGTCTATCACTGTAACCAATTTCACTGTTATTGCCGATGGGGTACTCAACATTCCGCCATCGCACGACTTATTAATCACACACCCACCCACACACACACACACACACACACACACACACACACACACACACACACACACACACACACACACACANCACATACATAATAAGCGGAACAAGGGACCCGACAATTATCCCGCCCATCCGAGTGCCAGCTTTTGTCAGGGGTCATGCCTACTCTTTCAGGGCTCAAGGCATGGCACTGTTCCATCAAATGTGACACATTATGCAACCTTTCTCTACAAACAGAAACCTGCGCGAGTTTTGACCTAATTAGGTTAGACGTGTGTTAGACGCGTATTGCCTGTACTCAATCGGGTTAGGACGATCTCCTTTCGTTTCAATCCCTCGGAGGGCCATTGTTCAGTCGTGCTCATAATTGGCAAGAGCTTCTCGGACGCCCTGGTCCACTGACGCTGCTAATGCTTTACAACATTCGCTTTGTAGTGGTGTCACTTCTCAGTGAGAAAGATGCTGTTTTAGTCGACTCGTGGCAAAAAAAAACCGTAGACCTATTTTACCCAGGAACCCGCACACCATGCCAATTTGCGTTGAACAAAGTTGCTCAGGGTAGTCTGGAAGATATCATTAATAATCGAGATTCATTAACCCGTAAGTATCTTAGTGGCGAACGTAAAAGTACCATCCCACTCGGCTAAACGGATGCCAATTGATTCGAAAAAAAACTGAAACTGATTGGAGCTCGAGGTAATAACACAAAAAAATATGCTATTTATATGTGCTAATCAATTTCAAGTTACAAATGTAAAATTTAATTGAACAAAAGGTAAATTCGAGCTACTCTAAGCAAATTAACTTGCTCTAAGTTTGAAATTTATACCCGAAGGTTAGCAAACTAATTTATTTTAATGAAAATCTTCATTTAAGGTATTGATTGAAATGAAAAAGTTAGTGTCACGAGCGGGATTCGAACCCACGACCTTCGGCTAAATACGCCGCTGCTCTAACCACTTGAGCTATTGTGACTTCGATCCTCTCGAACACCAACTTCCCATCTCAACCCCACCTTTCGAATTTTCCCTCCTTTTTGCCATTTTTCAAATGCCGTGTAATCAGGATTCGATTCTCGGCGACAAATGAAATGGCCACGGATAGTTTTAGTGAAGTTGTACTTCGTTTTACTTATTAAATCCATTATATTTCGTGGTCCGATTGACCAAATAACTTCTTTCAATTAATTAATCTTTATGTAAGGTATTGGTTGAAATGAGAAANTATTATATATATATATTTTTTTTTATAACTGCAGCTATACTAATAAATGAATAGCGCCATGACTAATTTTCTTTATTGATTGATTTTTTTTTCTTTGAATGAAAAGTAGTTATGAAAGTAAGACTATCTATCTCTGGACATAATCTTGTATTAATTTCTTCCACTTTTTCTATATTTCTTTATCTACCTCTTGTTAATCATATTTACTTCTTGTAAAACAACTAATTAAACATGTTTAAAATAATTATATCATTGAATGAAACGTTATGGTTGAAGAAATGATTATTGCTTAACTGAGTTTGAAGCAGGTAATTTTCTAAAGTATTACAAAATGAAGTTTAAGTTATAATTTGATAGATAGGGTTGAAGGGAAGTATAAATGTCCCTGTAATTTAATTAAGCTTCTCGAAATACTGTGTCATTTTGTTTGTACATACACTCGGTAGAACCGGTTCTAAAGCTACCTCGACCCAGTCAATTTTTGAAATTTCGCCTAAAGAAAATTCACAAAATCAAAGCTCAGTTTGTTCGAGGGCAAAGTTAAGATGGAACGGACGATAAGGAAGCTGGTAAAAACTATGGGAAGTGAGGCTGATTCGTCTCCTAGCAACCTGGGCCTATCGACCCTAACCTGTGGATTGTGTCGGTGCAGCAAGCACGCCGGTTTAGTTAGAATTTCGGCTAGCAAACTATTTCTATACTATTAGTGGACGATTTGCATCATGTTTTCAGTTAACGTTAATTCCCGGTTCGACAATTTTATACATGGTTCATAAAAACAATCAGCCGTAATTTTCAGTCACTGTTGCCTTGCTCTTACTTCCTTCTTTACGTGAAAAGTCTTAGACGAGATTAATTTCATTCTTTTTGTATTTAACCTTCAGCATATATCTTTCAAGTGGTATTTCAATGAAATTTCACTTACATGTTTTAGAAAATGTAAATAGATATCATTATTGAGAAGTTTGTATTAATTATACTAATTAAAATATTAATACCTCCCTTCTTCCTTTATGTTTAACCTTTAAGAAAAAAAACGTTACACACGAATAATAATGTGATTTTAACATTTCTTTTGTGTATTTTTTGTTGCAGATAGCAATTTTGTGTTGGGTAACGCCCAAGTGCCCACCCTTCACCCCATTGTCTACTGTTCGGATGGCTTCTGCGAACTGACTGGGTGGCCGAGGGCGCAAATAATGCAGAAATCATGCGCGTGTAAATTTCTCTACGGTCCAGAAACTAGCGAGGAACACAAGGCAATGATCGATAACAGTTTGCAGTCTAAATCGGAACTCAAGCTGGAGGTTCAGTTCTACAAGAAGAACGGTGAGCCAATATGAAAAGCATCGAATTTGAAGAATAATGCCTAAAACCTTCACTCTTTATCTCTTGGTATAATTGATTGGGAGAATAACACAAATTGTTTGGTATATCCACAATTAGCAAGTAAAAATTAAAGGGGGAATGTTTATACCAAAACCAGTAGATCTTGTAAAAAACACTTAGAAGATTATCATTTTTGGGACAAAATTGGATTTCTAATAGATAGCTTTAAACTCAAATAAAGTACCAGGTAATCAGAAAAGTTCGTTGGTTTTTCATTTAATATTGTTTTAATACCGTAAATCAACATTTCTGTTTACATATGAGGATATTCATATCGCTTAATACCAAGAGGATAATGCGTTAGTTCATAAAGACAAAGTGTCTTCAACATTTCACTGTAAATTATAAAATATTTTCTTTCCCTTGGATTTAAAACCCATAATTCCTGGTACTTATTGTATGAAGGTAAGTTCGATATTAGGGCAGCCAAGGCGGGTCGTAAAATTAACACTGCGATCTGTGGTGAAACAAAAATTCAGCCCACTGCCCGAAAGTTGGTCCAAAAATTAATTTCTGGGAATGAAAGTATTGAAGATGAACAGGTTGACGTTCTGTCTTGAATGACGACAAATTGAGGAACGCTATCGAACGTGTTTTGAGTCAAGCATGTCAGGAGCTTTCCAGAGTGTTCAACGTAAGCGATGAAACCATTCGCTCTAGCGTACATAAACTTGGGAAGACGTGGAATACGAGCAAATGGGTTCCTCATAAATTGAACGACAGTAACAAATTTAGCGCCTACACATTTGCCTTTAGTGCACAAAGTAAAGTTTTTTGACCGGTTGTTACATGCAATGAAAATGGATCCTGTGCAGCAACACCAGGAGGTCGCCCCAAGTGCTTCAATGTCGCGAAAACCAAATGTTCACCAACAAAAAGTGATATTCTTTGTGTTTGGTGGAGAATGGCACACATTGTGCTCTACGAACTCTGTTACGTAGTCAGACCATCACCGCAGAAACTCAGGCCAACTGCAAGCAATTTTTACCCTAGCCCAGACCTGAACAGAAAACAGGACAACGCGAGACTTCATTACAGCCAGACAAACAAAATAGGTGATAAAAGCTTGGTTGGGAAGTCCTACCACACCCACTATACTCTTCTGATCTGATCCCCTTTCACCTTTTTTTAACAAATGGACATTAGTTCGATAACCGCGAACAGCTCTACCCAGGGAGTTGTGGCCCACTTAATGTGGAACTACAACGACGACGGGTGGTACAATATGATTAAGGCTCGGGGCCCAAGAAAGGTGTACCTCGTGCCCTTATTCTCTCTCTCAATCCAGGTTCCTTCATTCTTCCCTGTGACCCTCCCAACCCGTGGCTACAAGGGGGGTGTCCGGGCGCAAAATAATGATGCATCACGTCTCTAAAGCTGTACTCCTGTCGGCCTCGGGTCGGCATGGGGCGGCGGGTACTTTATCAGAGGCACACGAGGGTTAGGGTACCAGATCCTGTCTGCATAGACGGGGGAGGGTGCATCAACATCTTTACTACGGGGTAACAGAAATGTTCCAAGGTTCAGCCCCTGTTACAATGGGAATGGACACATACTTGGCCGTGGCGAAACCCCTCGCGGGTACTTAGAGAAGAGGCTGTCTTCTATCTGTGACCTTCGCACGAAACTTGCGTATGACCACCGTTATACACCAGGCCTCACGGGATACGGAGGATCGGACGGCAGCGTATAAGCGTTGAGGACGCTATGATAATGCTGAAAAGTCCCTCGAATGCGTGAATAATGGCGGATGGGAATGGGTAGTGAATCGGTTGCTCCTATTCGAGTATGTTTTGCACGTAGGTGTAGGCTGAGCTCGATTGGAGGCGGTCTCCTCTAGGGGGTGGTTAGCAATTCCACTTTAAACAAAACCGCGGCCGGAGCGGATCCGGTAGTTTCTACGCTAGAGAAGCCCCAATACTCTGGGAGAGAGTGGCCTTTTCTATCTAGAGAGTGCGCGGGAGACCAGGCTGATGTATTTCGGCTTAGATAGCCCTTTGCGCGTGGCATACGGTTCGATGCTTAATGCGGACCCGACCACTCGGAATGGGCAAGCGGAGAGCGAGGTTTTCAGGCCCCTCGGCCCACCAACGCTGCGGCAGTAACACCCTTCTGTCGTTTGCGGAGGTGCGTCAGCCTCATCTTGAGAATCAAAACGTCCGATAAGGCTGAATAGGCTAGGTGCGGACGTTAAAGATCCTCATTGTCCTTTTTAGGACGACCGAGTATACGAGAAAACAATCGCCAACAGCTTGAAGATGTGCTGAATTTATTTTTTAAGTTCCTAGACCCAAACGTTTATAAGAAGTGCATAACTAGGCAAGTAGCGGGGGGGTGGTTATAAGTGCCGATGGAGACTATTTCCCAGAATAAAATATTTCTAAACTAATTTAAATTTTAACAATTATTAAACCCTTTAAACCCTCACGAACTTTTTGTTTACCTGTCAAAAGTATAAGTAATTCCTTGTCAATATATTATTATTATTATCAATTAAATCCATGGGCTCAGCCAGGTTTCAAACCTAGAACCGCTAGCGTAGCAAATACGAATCGGACGCCCTAACCACTCTGCCACCGCGGTCCGCCCCCCTTCGCTTTATACTTAAATCATAATTATATTTGAGGCAAAAAAAACATTATTGCGTAAGGAATAAAATTATAAAACAAATTGGCTGATTTTTCCCATTTTTTCCATATTTTATTTACAAAGGGAAGAGAATAAATTTCCATACCAATCTACAAGTAACGGATATTGAATCGAAATCAATTCTCCCAATTTCCCTCACTAATTGTGTGAAAAATCTTTATTCCACCTATTTCCATTTTCTAATTTTTTCTTTATTTTTTAAGGGACTCTGTTTTGGTGCTTGCTGGATATAGTGCCTATAAAGAATGAGAAAAGGGAGGTGGTGCTTTTTTTGGCATCACATAAAGACATTACCAGCAACAAATGCCTAATACACGACCACGAAGACGACTTATCTCCTACTGGTAACTTTTATCGTTTAATTATTAATAATCATATTAGAACCTTATTCACTATTGTAATTTTTATAATTTTACCGTAAGTAACCTATAGGTATTTACATAGTATAAATATGTTGACATTGCTTGAAATTTATTATAAACAGGATAAGAAACAGCCACACACTTATTTTAGATACATTTGGAAACAATTAAGTTCTTGTGATATTATGTTTTCATTGTATTACTTTTATTTGTTTATTTACTTTCAATTCATTCTTGCTACTCTCCAGGACTATATAAAGACCAGCTTCGCTACTGTTATTTTCATTATTTGTTAATCACGAAAATTTGATGTTAGTGAAGTGCCCCCGTAGATGGTCTAGTTAGTCTACACTCTATTCGAATACAATAGGATTTGAGGGGATTCCTTCACCACCGGTCAAGTCCATCTTTCATTCTTCCGTGGCGACACAAGACCACTAACTTCGTTGCCTTCATTAGTGATGACGTGGCAGCTTAGCCACTACGAACAATTTAATTTTAAACAATAAAGAAAACATCTTTGCGACAAAGGAAAAAATTACACTAACCAACATTACTTAATAACAATGAATAATCACTTTAGTTAGTGTTTTAACTACCTTTTTTTTTATTCATCTTAATCTGACTCTCCGAACCGGAGGACCAATCACCCGATTGCTCGGACTTTTCGGCCCCGTCCAAATAAGATCTGAGAAGCTGGTTTTCTCTTTCCATGATTTCAGTCGTCATTCTAAGCTTCTGCAGTTCCCTGGAAGCCTCCCGAGCTTCTTTCATCGTGTAACCGGTATTCTCTTTGATGTACCTGTGATGGCGTAATACATTAGCACTTTGAAAAGAAAATTTTTTCAAAAATAATAATTTACTTAATCGGGTCAGTTGGAAGATCCGGATCCATGTCGAACATCGAGCCCATGACATTTTCAAAGGCGGTGATCAATCCGCCTTCTTCCAAATAACTGTATAACTGTTTAGCTCTATCGTCCACAACCACCTAAAATAATAATTGAATATTAATTGAAATAATTAATTTGTTCAATTATACCACTAAACATAAATGGTTTATGTCGAAGTTTAGTCCCTCTCAAGATTTCAGAAAATAAATAACAAATCAAACTAAAATACAGATCTTGCTAGAAAGGTTAAAGCAAATGGAAAAATGATTCCGAGACAGACTCTGATCGTAAAACACCTGAATTACATTTTTTGTTATTGCATTACAGTTGATAATATCAGTAGTAACGTATGAAAAGAAAAATTCCTTAATTTGCTTGAATCGTGGGGTGAAGGATAAAGCCCTGCAGCGATCCTCATATTTATGCAGATGTATGAAATTCGAAATGGGCTTATTACTATCGCATAATAGAACATAAATCAGTAATAAATAATCACACTTTTCATAAAAAATAATCAATCGCAATTATAAACAAAAAAAATTTAAGCAAATACTCAGCATATTTTATGGATCTAGGAGGTAAATCACATAGGTCTTTTCCGCTCCGGTCATATATATTCGTATTTCTTCAGCTAAATCTTTGATTAGTTGCTATGGTAGCCTGGTGTTTTGAAGATGCACTGGAATTCACTTCACTTGAGTTCAGGTCAAGATTAGACCGTAATGTGGAGTTTGGCGAATACCATAGAGCTACCTTTATCAATCCGAGGACACATTTTGGGTTGCACGCATCTGTGTGTCAGCAGTGGCCCATATCTCACGACCTATAGATTCAGATAGGCCCACTTAGTGACAGCTAAATGCGACGTTACGGTTGAGTACAATCCAGCGTTAGTCGAATATGTATAATTTTTTGCTGATCGGGAAGGTTTCTGTCGAGCAATTTGATGTTCAATTTTGAATGATGTTTATGCAGATTTCTTTCTTGCAGCAGTGGCTCTTACCTCGTCAGAAGACATTTGTGGGTTTTCCTTGTTAGGTTCTTTAGATAAGGCGGCCATCGACGAATTGAGCCGGATGGAGGAAGACTAGTTGTGTATAATCAACTGGGTAATAGATTAATATAACGGAAGTCTAACTTAATGGTTTCGTAAGCATTTGCTTTGCCTGGGAGACATCGGAAGGAGTCAGGAAGTACTTTCTTAATCTCAGCCATCAAGCCGTCAATGGGGCAAATCCCTTACATCAAAAAAGAGAACTGTACAGTACCTTCCTCAGAGGTGCCTATGAGGTCGACAATGCGATGGAGTTTCTGCATACTTCAGGTGATAGGCTCTAAATCTGAATTATATCAAGTTCTAACAAGCACCTTCTGCGAGACACGAAGATTAACTGTCGTTTTAGCTTCTTGGTTATTGTATGAAGGTCTGTAGCTATATTTCTCTTTGTATTAATTAAAGTTTTTTAGTTGGGATAAAAAAGTCAATGTCACGAGCGGGATTCGAACCCACGATGATACGCCACTGCTCTACCTCGATCCACTCGGACACTAACTCCCATCTCAACCCCACCTTTTGAATTTGGAGTGAATCGACGTCACGATAGCTCACGTGGTAGAGCAGCGGCGTATCTAATCGAAAATCGTGGGTTCGAATCCCGCTCTTGACACTGACTTTTTTATCTCAACTAAAAAGCCTTAATTAATTGAATGATATTAATTTGTCGAGACCACGAAAACTAGTGAATTTTTCTTTGTTTTACCAGGGTATGAACCATTGTTCCTATTTAATAATTCTATGCTGGAATAAATAGCCCAACTGGATAATGCTTTTCTCTACTTGCACTTCAATAGAGGGCGAATTATTTTGTCGGTAATATAATTTAAATGTAAATTAAATTATGTAAATGTATCAATATGTGTTTTACATTGATTTATTAAATGTTAACCAATTGGAATGATTGCTGGTATTCATATCTCTTTAAAACGACGTGTTATTCCATCGGTTGGAAGGACGAAGGCCGGCTTAGATTGAAATCTGAAGGAAATATCCTCCCTTACAACTGTCGACAATGCACAGGATTTTTTACCGGCTTAGAAATGAATCACAACAGACTCGCTCCTGCTTTCGGAGTAGTACACCGCTTCGTAAATTTAATTTTATTTTTTCGGGGAATTTATTTTTTTTTCCACGCGAGATTGAATTTCAACGCTTCGAGAATACTTTTCACTGAATATGTATCGTTTCAGCAAGTTTTTCAAGTTAGACTAAATGAGGGGGGGTGTTACTTTTAAATTTTTATCCTGATTATATGCAAAGTTTGTTTAATATTTTGAATACTTTTTGGATTACAAATATCATAAATACTTGATTTATTAAACGGCTCTGGTTATTTTTTTGTAAAAAAATAAACTTAATAAATCAAATATGTGTAAATAATCTGGTCAAAACAACTGGGACTATTTTGTTTAATTTTTTTAAATAATATTTACCCAAATACTGAATTGTAAACAAAAATAATCTTCAGAAAGGTTTTGTTTTGTTATTGTCCTCAGTGATAAAAATTCTTGAGATGATTTCAATTGTATTCAAGAATTTATTTGTTTATGTTGTTGTTAAGGGTTAGAGCTATCGGTGTTTTACAGTTGCTGCAGTAATAGAGTAGCCAATAGAGAAACAACTAGTGATAAAACAGGTACTCAAATTTTACAACTCGGTGTAAGAACACAAACTTTATGCATAATTACAGTATACAGCAAGAAAATCTTTTACTGAATAAAAGTTCTCTCAGATAAATCATTTGAGAAAAATTTACACGATGACAATTTCACCAACTTCCACATACATCCATTAATGGTTTTTGAAATCAACCCAAGTCTAATTCTAAAAAAACTCTTCAAAATATTGATTTATCAAACCGTTACTTTGATCATAGTTTCAAAACCATTTTAAAAGCTTGTTGAATAAAAGTTAAACAATTGACAATCCTTTTATCAACTCCTATTATCTTTTGGTTATAGAACACAACGAAATATACAACACAACAAAACAAATACACAACAGGTTGAAACGAAATCCTTGTCGAGTCCTGAATTTTTTATTATTTAAAATAGATTTATTATTTGTTATTGTTGTATATTGTTTATGAACACAACATTGACAACTCACCTGAAGTGCACTCGGAGTTTGTACGCTAGCACGTCCTGTCATTTTCAAATCAGATTCTTTTCAATATCACTATAAAATACTTCACTTATAAAATTCTTACAATTTTAACTTACAGCTGAGTTCAAATACAATTTGTTTTCATGAATCTTTTGATTTCTCTCAAAAAGAAAGGTGTGACCTGATTTGTGGAAATACTTAAAAAATATATATTATTAAAAAGACTAATTTAATTTAAGAATACAATTTTGACTTGATTTAACTGTTTTTTCCTTTTTATAATTTGAGACAATGTTTTTGTTCATGAGAAATATTATTTTTTTCAATAATTTTCAGAATTAAATGGCTGCTTGGAACCGGACGAAACCCCGGCTGGAGTCAACTACGGCAGAAGAAGAAGTCGAGCCGTGTTGTACCAACTGTCCGGCCACTACAAACAGGACAAAGCAAAGCACACAAAGTTAAAGCTTAACAATGTAAACATAATTTTCAATTTCTCTGTTTGTATCAGAATTTATAACAGGAACGAAGTACTAATTAGCCGAAGTTCTGAACCTTATCGATATCCATTTGTGTGCCATTACGTTTAATGCACAAATTGAAACTAGCTTTCTTAACTCGGTAATAATTGGATTTTTAACAGCTGTTGATAATACCTGTGTTGAGCTTAATTAACAATGTTTTGCATGTTATACTGATTAGACTTTAGAGTGGTCTGAGAATTTCCCGTAAAAGTAATTTATCGGGACTTGTTAGTACTTTGTACTTGTTACAAGTTTTCGTATCGAATATTCTCTTTTCTTGGTAAATATATTTTTTTGTTTTTTAACTTCGAAATTAATATTCAATCGTTTTTCAATATACAGTGTTTTTTAAATTGATAATTAATTATATTATAGAAGAACAAGTTGAGCAGTTAAAAATTAAATTTGTCTATTGTAATGAAATATTTGCACAAAAGTTTTCTGATTTTGACACCATTCCGGGGAATTTGTGTTGAATTTACATTGATTCCGTCTCTCTCTTCGCTTTCTTTCGTTTCGAACAATCAACAATGAACAAAAAGGCATGCAAACAAGGAAGGGGCTCTTCTCGTGCCATTCGAGAAAACGGGATTGCAGGATCGACTGGAATCCTCAATACAAACGTACGGACAAAATTTTATTAGGTTTCGTGGTCCGCTTGACCAAATTTTCAATTAATTAAAGTTTTGATTGAGATAAAAAAAGTCAGTGTCACAAGCGGGATTCGAACCCACGACCTTCGGCTAGATACGCCGCTGCTCTACCACTTGAGCTATCTTCGACTTCGATCCACTCGGACTTCCCATCTCAACCCCACCTTTTGAATTTTCCCTCCTTTTTGCCATTTTTCAAATGTCTATATGTCTAATGTCTATACTGTAATCTATTTGATTCTCGGCGAAAAATGAAATGGCCACGGAGAGCGTTAGTGAAGTTCACTTCATTTTGCTTATTATATTTTAGTAGGTTTCTTGGTCCGCTTGACCAAATAAATTCTTTTCAGTTAATTAAGGTTTTGGTTGAGATGCCGAAGGTCGTGGGTTCGAATCCCGCTTGTAACACTGACTTTTTTATCTCAAACAAAACCTTAATTAACTGTACGAACAAAATTAAAAAAAAAAAAAAAAAAGCAAAGTGACTTATTTCATGAAAAACTTCCTACCCTATCTCGGCCAAAACAAATCTGTAAAATTAGAACAATATCAATAAAATATAACGATATAATTCAGAAAACATTTTACAACTATTTATGGTGACTGGTGACGCTGGCCAACGGTCTAGGGCTGAACGCAAAGCTTGTTCATATATTATTATACGTGTCACATACCACATTATGTGTATTGAATTTCAATAATTTCCAGTCATTTCGTTATAAAAAAATAAGCTGGAAATGCACGAAATAATTTAATGGAAAGTGCAAGTATGTCAGTTTGAAGGAATGCTCAGAACACCTATAACCAATTTGCCAAGATTTATTTGCAATATGTAATGTTACATATATATATTTTTTTTCAATTTAATTCTTAATATTAAGAAATTGTGAATACCACAAAATAATACTAAAACTCTTGAAAAATTCATTTGTTCAGACGAAATTCTGGTGAAAAATCATTATGTATTCTTGTGGCCTTCACAAGTCACATTGGCGAACAAAACCTAAAAAATTAGATTACAATTTTACGTAGGCGGGAAATAGCAGCCAACAGCTGAAAAAGGACTTTTCCGTATTTGTGCTTTCTGAAAAGAACCATTTTTTTACATAGGTACTACAATCCTGAGGACCTAATCGATTTACTACCTAATCAATAAGTACACAACTGCCATTAAGTTTGGCCAAAAGATTTCTTACAAATCGTACCAAAAGAGGCCAATTTTCCCAATATATATATAAATTCGAGGAATTAAAAGTTCTTTTTTGTGGCTAAGGTATAAAAATAAGACCTACTCATGAGAGGAAAATAATTGAACTGGGCTATTTAAATTTTTGAAGCTTGGCAACGTGACGTCATTAATTCAAATTTCAATAGAGATTTATGAAAATCCAACCGTACCAATAGTGCCAATGTTAAATTTCTTTAATTATGGTACAATTGTGCACCATCCTGTATATTGAGTAATGTCGAGGCTAAAACTTTAGAAAGGTAAAATATCGACGAGGAGGAGAAAAAAAGCAACAATTGATAACTGAGCTTACTAATTACAATTTTTGACGCTTGGATTAACGTGATATCTAAAGTTATACGATCGCCGGTTCGACTTTCATACTTGATTAATTTAATTTATGTGTTACACGATTCTTCTCTCAGTCGTAGAGTTTAGAAATTGGCCGTATTTATCGATTATTGAAAATATATTGGTAGTTTACGTCCGGTAAAACTAACGATTAGGAATGATTCTGAATAACAAACGTAGAACCAGGATTCAGGAACATTTGATTTCGGCAAGCCGCAAAGACTGAAAGCTGTGGAATACTAATGAGCTTAACTATCTCGAATTATGGTTTGACTGTGTTCGTTGCTTGATTTCTCAGCTAGAATGCGAGAAATTCGCAAATGACTTTCGTGTAAACTGGGCTCTTAGCGTTTTTGTTACTGTTTAATTTTTTTAAACTCTCTGACTCTGACTTTCAGAAAGATTACAACTCTAATTGTGTAATTAATGTTTAACTGTAAAGGACTTGATGATTTTACAAAAGGTTTTAATTTTTAGCGGGATTCAATTGTTTGTAATTAGTTTAACTTGGAACGTAAATTTCATTTTGACTCAATTACACTGATTATTTACGTAATCGTGTGCGTGATTTATACCTCCCTTTAATTTACCAGTATTTTGTAACCTTACGTAGAGAAAAATCCAAAAATTGGTATTAAAACCTTCCCAATATACTTTATTATTATAACTATATCTTGCGGTACTAGCCAGATCGTGTACACGGCCTCACCTCTATCGAGCTGCGTTCCTGGAACCCAGATCAGGGTACGCCGGTTTTCTCCTCGTCTATAAGGACTGGCGAGGGTGTGGCCTGCGTCATTTACAGCGGAGGCACTGCAGCGTGTACACGGCAGAGCTGTATGCGATTTGGCACGCTCTCGAATCACCCGAGACGATGAGGGCTCTGACTATCTCGTCTGTACGAATTCCCTGAGCTCGGGGATTCGGCTATTTATGACAGATTCTCGGTAAACCCCTTGTTCTCTTATTAGAGAGATATGCTGATTGGAGTGTCTCGGAAATACGATGGTGGTCGTCTGGGTACCCGGACACATTGGGCTGGAAGGCAACGAATGTGCAGATAAATCGGCGAAACCTAGGACGTCTTGGCCTCCAGACAGAACAACCACGGTCCGGCCCTGTGACGCTGTAAAGCAGTAAAGAACTCAATAAAAGGACGTTGACAGCGTTGATGGGTCGGATCGTCCGAGGTGCTCTTGCTCGTTAAGTCGGGCTGCTGAGAAATGGCCCGCCGAGGATCTGAACCGCAAGGAAGGGATCGTGCTCACCCGTTTGAGGATGGGCCATACTGGGCCATTTGGGGAAAATCCTGCGCAGGGGTCTCGCTTGTAGAGAAAGGTTGCTCAGCGAGTTACACTTGGTCGAGAAGTGCCGCTCCTTGGGCCCCTTACAAGGAGCGAGTAGGCATGGCACCCGGCATAAAGACAGCCCTTGGGCACGACAGTGCTTTGGTCGGTCCCGATTTTTTTAAGGGGACGGGGGTGTTTCCCCATCTCCAAATATTGTAAATATCATATATAATTTGTAGCTCTACAGTTGTTTGTGTATATAGTTGTTACTTTGTGTATATAGCCGTGTGTTTGTGTGAATGAGTAAGTGCAAGAGCCTATGACGGAATATCGAATACCCCATCGGCCCCAGAGTGCGTTGGGGGCTGATATGACTCTATTGTCAAGAGCCTCCAAAAATAGTATAATTTTGGAAATTTAAAAAAATTAACTTTATTATCGAGTGTGTAAAATTTTGGTTGACCGTTCCAGAATATTAAGAAGGATCAGTTGACTTCCACGCCGGTTGGATTAGAAAAGTGGTCAAAAATATCTCCGAAAATTTGACTCCTGGTAGATTTGATTGAAGAAATAGAATTTCCTTTTTTTTTAAAAGTTCAAAGGTGTAGTCACGACTTCTATGTAAAATTCATTATTTCATGAAAATAAACTGGCCTACTGGGACCTAATGAATATGGAATTATATTGGAAAATGAGGCTCAAATTTCAATTAAAATATATTCCACAGAATTCATGTTAAACTTAATTTTTAAATAGCTATTTCTTATAGCTTAAATAATTGGTCCAAATAATCTATAACGATTTCTTTGTCCAAAAAACGAATTGCGAGCGGTAGTAGAGCTCGACGATTCGAATTTAATGACGACCGCTTTTTCTTAATTGCTGCATTTAATGGAGTCGGAGATTATCTCGTGGAAATGGAAAGCAATTCTCAGTAAAGGATTCTCCTCAAATTCCACCGAAGGCATATTTGCGTGAACCCCACCCTCCGTAATGGTTTGTTAAAATGGAAAGGTATTTCGCTTTCCTCTTCGTCATTGCCGAACTGTATTGTTATATTTACGTTATCCCCTTTACATTCCGATTTTTGGCGGATAAAGAGTGTGCCACCTGCGGAGATCTACTTTCCGTATGTTAGCGTAAAAGTCGCATGAGCAGGCTTAACGGAACGCTATCTGTAATAACGTCCTACGATATTTATCTTAGAATAGCGTGCTTGTTAACGGGTAAAAACGAAAGTCATATTTTTGTTGGCGATGTTGTCCAATTTAAAAAAAATATATAAGCAGAAATATAATTAAATTGTTTATTTTATTATTTACATTTTACAATATTTTTATAAGTTTTCATGAATCCCTACTCTTAAGAATGTCGTGTTCCAACATTAAAATTAAGCAGGAATACAGTTAGAAATACAGCAACCTTATACAC